TGTAGCCTAGCAGAGTGGACAAGTTGCTGTTAGCTGACAGTGAGGCATGTAGGCTACGTGTCCATAAAAGTGACCACGCCCTAATTTATGCAAAAACTTTAAGACCTAATATAAATAAAAGGGTCGTGTTAGAAAACAATTCACTCACAGATTCATAATCATGAAGGTGGAATCTAACTATATCGATAATAATATTTATTGCATCCATGGGTAGAAACATGTTTTTTTCTGCTGTAAAGTTGGGCATTTTAACATGGGGGTCTATGGAAATTGCTCCTTTCTGCAGCCAGTCCCTAGCGGCCCATGTATGAACTGCAGTGTGTGGCACTTCCTTATTGGCGTCCCGGCTGTTCCCCAGAGTTTGCCGCTTGGTTCCCACTCACCTCATGTTTAAATAGTCCTGTCTCTCCCCTATCCTGTGTCTGTTTGTCTTGTTTGTTTCCCCGAATGGTTGTGCCAAGCCTCAGCTCAGAAAGGATCACTTTTACTCATGTCAGGTTTTGTTGTTTTGTTTATTTTGTATGCTTAAGTTTCTTTCTTAAGTTCTCTTTTGTTATGCATATTTGTTTCCTCCTTGTGAGCGCCTTTTGTTAATTCCATACTCTGTTTAAAGGAATTACCTGATCTTTGAAATAAAAGATACATTTTTGTTACATTCAAGACTTTGTCTCAGTTTGTGTCGAGGTTCTGACATTATTTATTTTACAGAAGTGAGAATTATGTATAATACCCATCCACAAGAACACACTGTTAAAACACTTTTAAAAATAGATGAATTACAGACATAAGTAGTTGTGTACAGAACAAAAAAAACAAAGTATTACAAGAAAAATATACAAAAATTGTTGTTCTTGCATTTTTTACGTTGTATTAGTTATTTTGTTCAATTGTTGAAAGTGTGCAAAACTTTTCAAGAAAATTCATTTTTTCTTTTTGAGACACTACAGTTTTGAAATCACATATTTTTGTTTTTAGTGCTACATATAATCAGTGTGTGTAGCTTTCAGGTAGGATAAGTGATTTTATTTGATTTCATCCCCAACATGATCCTTTTTTACGGAAAGATTTCACATGATGCGCAAATAATGTAGATGCTCTGATTTAGACAGATTTATGGGTGGGGCATCACATATAGAGAGGCGAAGTCCCGCCCATCTACTTCCGACCCATGGGACCTTATTTTCGGAAAAAGTATGTATTGAAGTAAATGGAGAGAGAAAGATTATTTTTCGATCCCGATTGAATTGTGCCACGAATTACACATATGATGTAATTTCCACGTCAAAAAAGTCACAGTTTGTCGTAAAACTGTTGAAATATAAGACTATGAAAAATACGCAACTAGAAAGACTACAAATCCCAGAGTCCCGGTCCCGCATGCTGGCTCTCACGGAACCGACTAACTCCCCTTGTGTGTACGTACAGCTCTCAACATGCCCAGACTTGGAGTGATTTTCACCTCTTTTAATACTTTCCACCTCGTTCTGAAAGAAAGAAGTGAGATGTTCCAACGTGACGGCCGTCTGGGTGTGTGGTGCGAGACGGGAGATGTAGGTCATTGAGCGGTTTCACACAAAATAAAGTGTTACTTCACAGTTTTACGACACATTTGAATTTTTTTGACTTGCAAAATTATCTTTTCAAATCAAATCAAGTTTTATTTATATAACACATTTAAAATCGATTTTTGGTCGAGCCAAAGTGCTGTACATGTAATAAAAACACATTACTACAATCACAATAAAAGACAATAAATTACAACAGATATATAAAAAACAAAAACACAGGGAAAAGTCAGGAGTCGTGCTCCGCTCTGACTAGAAGGCCAGGGAGAATAAGTGAGTCTTTAGTGAGGATTTAAAAACCCCTAGGGTCTGGGCCGACCTCACATGGAGGGGCAGAGTGTTCCAGAGCCTGGGGCCAGCTGCTGCGAAGACTCGGCGCCCTCAGGTTTTGAGCCTGGTCTTGGGCACTATCAGCAGCAGCTGGTCAGCAGACCTTAAAGCTCTGGCTGGGGTGTAGCGATGGAGGAGTTTGGCTATATAGGCCGGAGCCCATTTAGGGCTTTAAAAACAAATAAAAGGATTTCAAAATTAATTCTGAACCGAACTGGAAGCCAGTGCAGTGAGGCCAGAATTGGGGTGATGTGGTCACGCTTTTTGTGGCCAGTCAGAAGACGTGCAGCTGCGTTCTGCACTAGCTGCAGGCGTTTAATGAGGCCTGGTCCATACCCACATACAGAGCGTTGCAATAGTCCAGTCTTGAGGTAACAAAGGCAGATTGACAAACATCATATGTGTAATTCGTGGCACAATTCAAACGGAATGGAAAGATAATCTTTCTCTCTCCATTGACTTCAATACATAATTTTTCCGAAATAAGTCCCGGAGCTCCCCCGGAAAGGGAGGGACTTCGCCTCTCTATAAGAGTAACTTCAAACCTTTATTTATTTTAAGGAAAACATCAGTTTGAATTATTTAGAATGCCTAGCCACAAGAACACACACAATTGAATTACAGAATTAAGTAGTTGTGTACAGAGCAATCAGTCGTACCGTAAAAATACACAACAATTGTTATTCTTGGTTTTTATATGTGTGCAATTGTTGAAAGTGTGCAAAACCTGCAAACTTTTCAAAAAAATGTGTTTTTCATTTTCTTGTCTTGGGTCATTTTTGCCTTTATTTGACAACATGTGAGAAACCACAGTTTTTAAATCACTTATTTTTATTTGCCTGCCTTTATTAAATATATTCGTGTTTTTATGAGGTCTAAATATGATCAGTGTGTGTGGCTGTCAGGTAGGATAAGTGCAGCAGGATATAATGCAGCCTGTCTGGATATCACAGCCTTCAACAGGACAGAGAGCGGCGACAGCAGTTATAAAATATGAATCACTGTTTCCATTTCACTTGCTTTAATTGCCCTGTTGCTGTCTGAGGGCGAGGAGAGATACAAACAGAAACTGACAGGGAGGAACGGGAAAAGATATATCAAATACATATTTACACATATAGCCTACTGTAAGTATTTACAGTGCAGAAATATATCCTACATTTAGCTCCAGGCACGTCCAGATGGGAAGAGGGGTAGACCTATAGGACCAGGTGGAGGGATTATATCTCTTCGCTGGCCTGGGAGCGCCTTGGGATCCCCCAGTCAGAGCTGGTTGATGTGGCCAGGGAAAGGGAAGTTTGGGGCTGCTCCTACCTTCAAATGAGGTTTGTCGTACTTACATCTGCATTTTTACAATATAAATATGTTATGAATTATGCATGACGGATATTGTTATCCCTGCACAAAGCATCCCTAGGTGAAACATATGAGAAACACTCCACATTTGTCTTTTATATTATTTTATTACTTTTGCTTCAACTTCACTCAGTTTCTGCTATGTGTCATGTCATCAAAAATCATCTGTCTAGATCTTAATCACTGCAGGTATATTTGACATGTCAGAGCAGGAAAAGCACAGGTGTTGTTGACAACTTTACAACATCTACATACCTGCAGGGTCCTCGCTCTTAGGAAGACACTTAATAGAGCTGAGCCGTTAAAAAGTGTTGTATCTATGCTTGTTCTGTTATGTCAGGATGTCTGATGTGGAAAAGGACCATTTAAAATACTTGTCTCGTTGTAGTTTTTATCATATTAAAGGGGCCCTATTATTTTCATTCGCAGGTTCATATTATTATTTAGTGTCTCTACTGAGACATGTCTCCATGCTTTAATGTTCAAAAAGCTGTCCGGCTCTGTTGTGATTGGTCAACCTCTTAGACATGTCCCGCCCCTTAGCCTATCAAGTACAATGTGTCGAAGCGTTAGCCAATAGAAGCACGGGTGTTACATAATGATGTCAATATGTTCTGGAAGCAGTGGCGAGCCGTGACTTTTATACTTCCGGGTTTTAGGACGCGTCACTGCACCACTTGCATAGACCTCACAGCGGGCGTAACTTGTCATAAAGTCCGCGAAAATAAAGCCCGCCCATTTAGAGGGAAGATATGATTGGTCAATTGTACTGTCATTTGACATTACTCTCTCGTTGAGTTACTATAGCTGGCCCTCTGTGAATGTACAGAGGGACCAACAAGCCCTCCCGTCTTCACATAACTCGCAGAGACGGCATTTAACCCTTCACATTCCAACAGAAACTGAACAGGCAGATTCGAAGGATTTATTTATTTGGAAATATTATTTTAAATACAATTAAATCAAGTTATTTTGGTAAAACTAATGAAAAATGTAAGAACAAAAAAAATATTTTAAAATTTTTTTTTTTTTTTTAATGTTTTCAAATATTATTCTTTAGAATATCTTAGGCCCTCACAGAGGGCCCTGACGGCTCGCCACTGTCTGGAAGTAAACAAGCATCTTCTGAATATATGTATTTTATAAGAGAATATGTATATTTTGTTCTTCATTTAAACATTTTATTCTAATTGTATCTATCTATCTATCTATCTATCTATCTATCTATCTATCTATCTATCTATCTATCTATCTATCTATCTATCTATCTATCTATCTATCTATCTATCTATCTATCTATCTATCTATCTATCTATCTATCTATCTATCTATCTATCTATCTATCTATCTATCTATCTATCTATCTATCTATCTATCTATCTATCTATCTATCTATCTATCTATCTATCTATCTATCTATCTATCTATCTATCTATCTATCTATCTATCTATCTATCCATCTATTACATAATCATAACAATATATTATTATAACATTAAAATATAGCAATACAACTAACAACATTTAAACGAAAGACAGGATATTAGGCCTTGTTTACATGCTGCTGTGTCGTCAACATCTCCTAAATCAGGATAAAGTATATCTTATCTTACTTTAAGATAGTGTGAGGGGGGGCAATAACATCTCGGTTTGTCCCTGTTAAAAGAGAAGGGGCGGAGACAAGAGAAAAGAGAGAGAGAGAGAGAGGGCGGACACACACACACACGCACGCACATGCACGCACACGCACGCACACACACACTCGCACACAGAGCGGTGCAGCAGGCAGGGCTCCAGTCGGTCGGTATGTAGCAGCAGAGCAGCGTCTGCCCGGGATTACAAAGGGGGGAAAACGCGCCTTGGAGAGCAAATATTGCAGTGGGATTAAAATTAAAACCCACCGAGGATGAGACACACTCCGTCCGCCTGAAGGAGACTAAAAACAACTAGTTTTTATGCTCAATTATCACCGTTTTTAAGCGAAAATGGCGAGCGAGTCCCCGGCCAAAAGTCTGGTGGAGATAGACCTCGCATCCCTGAGGGTGAGTGTGTGTTATGGAGGCCTTTTCACACTGCAATTCATTTTATTATGGGAGTAAACACATGTAGTAAGCAGTGCTGTTGTTGGCAAAACCCTGTCTTTGTCTTTTAATATCTGCTGGCATGGAGAGGCCAGCAGAACGGGCGCATTCGGTGCTTACATCGAGCGAACCCATCTGGAGATATGCACTACAGGGAATCAATTAATATAGTTTATCTTTTTATAATGTGTTTTTTGGGGCTTTTTATATACAGGACCCTGCTGGGATTTTCGAGTTGGTGGAAGTGGTCGGCAATGGCACCTATGGACAAGTCTACAAGGTTGGTGTGATCCTCCATCTGTGTGTGTGCGTGTGTGTGCGTGTGTGTGTGTGTGTGTTAAAGCTCCAGTCGAGGAAACATACGGGCGGAAACTGGAGCACAAACATGCATTTATGTATCTCTTCCCCTCTCACGGTCTCAGGAACACGTTTATTATAACCCCCCCCCTTCTTCTTCTTCACTTGGTGCGGTCTGGACTGGATTATCTCCCCTGACAGTGTACTGTTATGGCCTCTCTGCTGCTTCACATCCATTCATTATTTTTTATTTTAACGCTGCAAACATCATCCCAGTTGCACCTATTTCTGTCCCTGTAAGGCCCCTCCCTCCCTCCCCCTCCTCCTCCTCCTCGTCGTTCTCCTCCTCTCATCCACACCCCGGCAAAACATATTCCTCTCTTTACAATGCTCTGATCAACCCCGTCCGCGCATGACAGCCTTTAAAACCACGCTGACCGATTTGTGCGCCATTGGGTGGGCAGTGTTTCATTGCGCATATGTGCACATTATTGCACAGAAGCCCTATTACTGGAGTGGCTCTGTGCTGCAATACTAGTGGTAGTGGTATGCCTGCCCATCCTATCACACACACACACACACACACACACACACACACACACACATACGCACACGCACACACACACACACACACACACACACACATACACGCACACGCACACACACTCACTCAGTCAGTGGATCAGGCCTCTGATGGAGACCCAGTGCTCCTGTAGACCACCTCCATTAGAGATTAGTGTCGGTTTATGCCTGGTAGAAATTAGAACATAGATTGCATTGCTATCACTCAGTTACTATACTTTACCCGAACCACTGCATTATTTCAAAACACAAGAAAGGGACTTATTATGGAGCAATACAGAGTTAAGCTCGTATTGACCTGTAAGCATTCACTCCATCAGATGATACACCACACACACTACAAAGCTGTGATTGATTTCATTTGCATGTGGCTGCAAAGTAGACCCATATGCATTTTTTTGTCGTGTTGCATTGCAGCAACGAGAGTAGACACTTCCCAAGACTTTTGGAACACATCCAAATGCAATCGGTTGACATTGAGCTCCTTGACCAGAGTGTGTGGTGCAGATGTAGAGTGACTCAACACGCTGATTGCCACAGTTAGGGCAGGTTTAACAGAAACACTGAATAGATGGTCATGTAAGGGTTTAAATAAGTCAAATAAGCTTTGATTTATTGTTTGGTCTCCGTGATTTATGGGCATTTTGGGTTATGCTGTTGCTGTACTGCAAACCTTGCCACTGATTGCATCATTGAAGCGCATACAGAAGGGATCCTGTCACTTCAGGATGAGAATACACACCTGGAAAAGAGTCGATGTTGTGCAGAAGAAGAGCAGCCACATCCGTAAATTACTAAGCTCCATCTTCAGGCTTTCATGTACCCTAACATGTGTATAAACCAGTCTGTAAGCCTCTGTTTGATGTCTAGATTTCTTTAGACTGATGTTTAAAATGTACTAGACATCTGGTCCCTTGCAAAAAAAGCACATTTTGAGCTTTATTCTACTTCCTGTACGACACAACGGGAACGGGAATAGACACTAAGCAAGTCCATATTAAATCGGTTGCCATTGAGTTCCTTGACTTGAGTGTGTGGTGACTCAACATGCTGATTACCACCATGAGGGCAGGTTTAATGAAAGCTATAGTTGGTCACATGAGGGTTTAACAGAGTCGTGTGATTTATTGTTTAGTCACCTCGATTTATGGGCATTTATGGTTATGTTGTTGCAACATATGCAAAGCGTGTCTCTTATTGAAGTGAAGCCAGAGGGGATTCAGTCCCTAAAGGAGGAGAAGACACACCTGGAGACGAGTCGATGTTGTTCAGAAACCAGATCTGTAAATGACTCAGCTTTCATGTTCCCCTAATGATGGTGTTAACACAGTCATGAAAGCTGTGTAGAATGATGTCTATATTTCTTTTCGTTGATGTCTGACATGTCCCAGGCATCAGGAGGTATAAAGTATTAAAGAAAAGCACACTTGTATTCCACTTCTCGATCGACACAAGCTTGATATTTATCTTGCTTGTTCATATGCCAAAGCTTGTGGTAATCAAAACGCCAAATAGCCTCTGTTCTCCAAGAAGTACATTTACGTATTCGGAGCCATTTTGGGCCATGATGTGGTCAGGAGTTTAATCACGTGAAGTGCTGCAACAAAATAAAGAGATATCTGTCTGCATCGAGTTTAGACACTTTTTGTATCTTCTACAACCAATCATGTTTACTACATACTGTAACAGGGGGTCTTAAAAAGTATTAAAAGTTGATAAATCAATTTAGCGAAAATTAAGGCTATTAAAAAGTATTAAACGGCATTTTCCAAGGTGTTACATTTTGTAGCTTGTTTTCAATAAGTATATAAATGGTCCAAAGAGGTTGTATTCTACAGTCTGCCTGAATGTAATCATGGCGTAGGTGTGTAGTGTGATTCTGTGTAGTTTATTGATGGCATCCCGTTGGGTTTGACGTCATCTGAACAGGACATCGCACGCTCACTGCTTGATAGCGCGAAGCTCCGTTTACGCCGGTTGTTAAACAACATCGTTATGGGGAAATGCAAGTCTGCGTCCAAATGGTTGGAAGATAAGGAGGAAGGACAATCAATACTGTATATAGTCAATGTGAGGTAAAGTGTGTCGCCAAGGTAACCGGTTAGAACTCCAAGTGGCGATGAGGTCTTAAGATGTATGGAAAGGGTCTTAAAAAAGGTCTTAAAAGGTCTTACTTCTGACTTCAGGACTCCTGCATATACCCTGATTAAGTACGTGGTAATAAGTCATTCAGCATGAAAAAAGCATTACATTGACTAAAGAAATCTTAGAGGACTAAGACACAAAAAACAATTTACGACCATCTTTCTGTCACATGATGATCACAGTTTGAGAATTCAGGAGTTGAGCAGGAACCTGGATTGTTGGCACAGACTCCTCTCGCTCACATGCTCCAGGGTAAACAAGGGCTCTCAGGCTTACTTTACACATGTACAATATGGCGTCAGTGTCCATTGAACAATCTCTAGGTCTCCTGTATCTCTACTTCTGCCTCTGGGGATCCCACAAAGTGACCAGCAGCATTCAGAGATTCCTCCGTGGAGACGAGTGTCACTTTGGATCACTTTGTGCCTCCATGGACAAAGAGGCCGGCCCGAGGCGATGCCGTTGCCTCACAGTGAGAGCCATGAAACGCCTCCTCGTGATTAAGAGATGGCTGTTGGGGTGTGTTTTCTTCAGGGTTGGGAAATATGTATTCTCATGCGATTACTAGTTAGTTACCTGAACAATGTGACCTTAGAGGAAACCAAGATATTTAGGATCAACAATGATTGTATTTATAGTTAATCCTGCCTTTCATGAAGCCCATTCAGCCGATACACCAACACTGAAACACATGAGCACATAGTACAGTTTAAAAAAGCAGAAATAAAATGTGAGCTGACAGAAAATGCTCCGTTTTAGTTTAACACACAGTTGAACTCACACACACTATTTTATGAACGTATAGGTTCACCTGCTGAATTAAAAACAGAACAAATGAAGCAAAGAAAGTGAAAAGCAGATCCAGGGAGTAGACGTAGATTCACACGTAAAGTATTATCCTACAGAACAGAACAGCTGACAGAGAAGAGACAACATCTGATCCTTTACAACAAACACTATATGATGTTTTTACTTGGTCAGTAATAATAATAACAAGTGCTCAAAGACGCTTTACACAAATCAGAAACAGCACAAAGTAACACAGTAATCCTGCTAGTAATCCCCAGTTTTCAGAAAAGTAATCTGATTATTTATATGTAACTGTAAGGGAATACAGTTACCTGTTTGTGTATCCTGATCATCTAAACCAGGGGTGTCAAACTCAAGGCCCGGGGGCCAAATCCGGCCCTTGACTTCATGTCATGCGGCCCCACAAGAGCTTGCAAAGAATATAATATGTTTATTATACGGTTACATGATGATTTACAGAAGCACGTTGCCCATAAACTACATGTCCCACAATGCATCTCAAATTAGATTTTTTTCTCAGAATGTGTCCTTTTCTCAAAACTTGACTCTTTCTTAAACATTTTCCTTTTTTTTTTAAATGTCATTTCTGTTTTTGACTTTTTTTTCCAGCTTTTCTTTTAAAATCATTTTGTGACATTCCCACTGAAGAGACTTGCAATTATTTGCCCCAGACTTCTGCTTTCAGACGTAGTTAATTATGAAGTTATACCCTATCCAATAATAATCCAATGCAGAGGCAACAATGTAATATAATACATTATTTTATATATTTATATATAAGTTACAACCGGCCCTTTGAGTGCAGCCATAATGCTGATGTGGCCCGCAATTAAATTGAGTTTGACACCCCTGATCTAAACCCATTACATGTAACCCGTTACTCCCCAAGCCTGCATCTTGTTTAACAATACAGCTATTATCGCATCTTGATTTGCTTTGAGTATTATTTGTTTTATTGTGGCTCGGGGAGGATGGTGTAATTGTTTCATTAAAAAAGGGGACAAGTGTTTGTGGAAACGCTCAGAGGCACGGGGACACAAATTAACCTCGACATTTTGAGTTTAGTTCCTCAGGATTTGGTGAATCATCACCACGTGGGCCATGAGGGGAGGATGAACCGAGCTCTTTTCTGTCTGTGCTGCCTTGCCTTGAGATCATTCGAAAAATGGATGTGTGTGTGTGTGTGTGTGTGTGTGTGTTTGGGTCGTCACATTACACTTTATCCTCAACACTTGGCGATTGGTTGGGTTTCCCATGCTGTCGAATCTCTGCAGTGTTGCAGCTGTGTGCTCTGACAACAGCTGTGGGACGGAAAAATAAAATACAGAGGAGGGGTGGGGGGGACAAGCTTTAATCATCAAAGTGTTTTTGTTTGGTTTGGTCTGAAATGTGTCAGACATCAAGCTGGTCTTGGTCAAGCATCTGTATTTTTACAATTTCCCCTTC